GTGAAGGGTGATGGCATCACAGGGATGTCACCAAGCAACTGTGTGGGTTGGAGAGGTGGGAAAGGGGGCAGCTCCATCTCATCCCACTGCTGCTGGGAGGCTGTCTTGGCTGGGCAGGAGCACGGGCAGCCACCCATCCCATGAGCAGGGGCTCCTGAGAATCAGCTGCTCCGTGGGCAGCAGCGCAGCACTGAGGCAGCACCCCAGGGATAGGAGCAGTGGGGTGGGGAGGAGCTCCGAGCTGCTCTCCCTGTTCTTCACATCCCTTTGCAGGCTTTTGCTGTGCCCAGCTTTAGGTCCTGATGCTCCTGTGGGCAGCTGGTGTAGCGTTAGCGGCATTAGCTCAGTTTGTTTTGATTCTTACATCATGCAAAGAAGCAAAATAATTCCAGGCAACATCCGTGCAGTTGGGAGCACACCGTGTTTGTCATCCCGCACAGACCTCACCCTGCCCAGCCGACGGGGTGGGTGGCTGGTGATGTGCAGGGTGTGAGCAGGGGCTTTGCACGGCCATAACCATCTGAGCGCAGGGGCTGCTGAGTTTAATTCCCTGTACGCAGACAGTTGGAGTGCTGAGAGCTCTGTGCGGAGGGGACGTGGGGACAGGAGGTGCTGCTGTGCTGCTGCCATCAGGGCATGGTAGCAACTGGTAGCGGCTGCTGGCTCCAAGGTTTGTGCACCAAAAAGAGAAGAAAAAACAAGAGGGGGGTTTGGTTTTCCTTCTGAAAGGAAAACTCTGCTTGCTAATCCCTTAACTCAGAGCCACACAGATGAAATATTGTGGGGCGGAGAGAGAGGTGTTGCTGCAGCTCTAAGGTGACAAATCATTTTTAGGGGGGCTTCTGGTGCTATTTGGCATTCCCATTTTCACGCGTTCTTTGCCCGTTCCCGCTCATCCTTCCCAGTTTGCTTCTCCCATTCCGTTCCTTGCCAATTCTAAATTGTTGCTGTTGGAAAATGCAGCGAGGGTGGTGAGTTTGGCCTCAGGTTGGAAAGCCGTGAGGCGCCGTGGTGGCACGGCTCTGGGCTGCGTGCAGGTGGATGCACTGCTGTGGGTGTGCGCCAGCCCCAGCAGAGCGCACACATCCACATGGACATGCACACACCTGATTCACATGTGTGTGTGTGTCTGTGTGTGTGTGTGCTTCTTGAAAATCTTTCTAGCAATATTTCTTTCTATTAAAAAGAACTCATTTTCTGTTAAAGAGAAAATGACGGCGAGGAACAGCACTGGTTTGGGATGGGAAGCAATGGTCTCATCTCTGATTCTGTAACCACAGTCAAGTCCACATGCTGAAATGTAAACAGATGGAGCCAAAGCACCGCTGCTTTCAGGTGCTTAAAATCAGGCACTTCAACAGTGCTACGGCGACCTGACTTTCAATTCTGCTTCGCAGGGAAAAATGCTTTTCCTGAACTCTGTGTATGGGAAGCAAACCTCTGAAACTCAGTATTCTCTAAATTAGATCCTAATAATGCTAGGGACCTGAAAGAGGAAAAGATATGTATTTTTGTAGGGTGGTGTTGCTATGAGCATTGCCTTATGCGGCTGCTGTGGTGTGAGACATCCATCCTCTGGCCATGGCTGTGCTGCAGGGGCTGCTCGGGCGCTGCTCCTGGCAGCTCTCACTGCAGTGCGGAACCAGAACCCAAACATCAAGGGTGGGAGGAGTGCTGTCATCCCATAGCAACAGGAGCAGTGCTGATAGAAAAGCCCTTCCTGCTCTCCGCTTGGGCTGGTGCAGGCAATGGGGCTTTGGAAGAGGCAGCATCTCACGCCTGGACCACGCTCTCCTGCAGCAGCCGCTGGGATCTCGGCTGGTTCCCTACGCTGGCCGAGCCCAAGGCTGCATCTGCATTTCCACCTGAATTTCTACTGCTGGGGAATGACCCTGCTGGGGTGGGAGATGCTGCTGTGTCCAGCTGCAGGGAGTGCCAAGGGCTCCATGCAGAGCACTGCGTCTGGCACCATGTCCGATCTCTGTGTCATTGCTCCTTGCTGTGGTTTGTGGGCACACGGTAGCTTATTTCTCTATGTCTGCATGTGCTGTGCCACACCTCCATCTCCTTCAGCTATGGGAATCTGTGCCCCACTGCTGCTCCTTTTCCTGCTCCTGGACCTGGGGAAGACCGAGGTGCAGCTCAGTGCTATCAGTACATGAGTGCTGAGTGATGCCATCACTGTCAGTGTGACCAGCGCCGTGCCTGGCCCACGGCCTGGGGAGTGCTGTGGGCATTCAGCAGTGCTGATGGCAGTGGGACCTTGCAGGAATCTGAAACGACCGGCTGAAGATGCGGGTAGAGCTGCTTGGTGTGCCACCCCAACACCCCCATCTGTGTTCCTTCTCCAGATGATTCCTCCGGATCAAGAGCTGCTGGTCTGGTATGGGAACTCGCACAACACCTTCCTGGGCATCCCAGGTGTCCCAGGGCTGGAAGAGGAGCAGAAGAAGAACAAACATGGTAGGTGACAGCAAAAACAGCCATGTCATTCCCTGCTCACCCCATCCCCAGCTTTGTGGCCAGGGTGGGTATGGGGCAGGGACTCACAGCTCTCTGAGGGCAAGCATACGGATCTCTGAGCAGCACAGCATGTCCCATGGACCCGCAGCTCTCCACGATCCTACAGAAAGGAGCTGGTCAGCTTCACCCGTAAGACAGAGCCCATCTCCCCCAAAACAGAGCCTGCAGTTTGAGCAGATCCCCGGTGATTTGGGATCCCTCGGTGTCAGCGTGCCCATAGCTGGGGTTGTGCCAGCAGCCACTGCCTGACCCAGTGTGGAGCTGCCAGGCAGGGAGGAAGGAGCCCCAACATGCTGTGAGGTGCCGGGATGCGCTCTTCTATTTCCCTGCTCTGCATTTAACGGTGCAAACCCTTCTTTCTCCACATAGCCAGTGCAGGAGGCTTTGGCACTCTGCCTGTCTCAGCAGCTCCCATGGGCAGGCAGTGGAGCTCCTGAGCCCTTTGGGAAATGCTGCGCTCTGAGCCGAGTCCCCAAAGGGCTCTGAGCGAGCCCCAAAGCGGAGCCCAGCAGAGCTGGGGGAGAAGCTGGGGCTGAAGCAGGTCTGTTACAGCCGCAGATCCCCGCTGACAGCTCCTCGTCGCCTTCCTGCGTCACCACCGCTGTGGGTGCGGCGTGCAGCTGGGGCACGGGGCGGTTACTTATGGCTTAGGAATGGGGTGAGCCCAGAGGGCACTGCCTGACCGTTCCCCCTTGTTGCTCCCAGAGGACTTCCACGCAGTGGAGACAGGAGCCAGCACCACGGGCCGCATGCGCTGCGTCATCTGCCACCGCGGCTTCAACTCCCGCAGCAACCTGCGCTCCCACATGCGCATCCACACCCTGGACAAGCCTTTCGTGTGCCGCTTCTGCAACCGTCGCTTCAGCCAGTCCTCCACCCTCCGCAACCACGTCCGCTTGCACACCGGTGAGCGGCCCTACAAGTGCCAGGTTTGCCAAAGTGCCTACTCCCAGCTCGCCGGGCTGCGGGCGCACCAGAAAAGTGCCCGTCATCGGCCCCCCAACGCCTCCCTGCAGGCTCACTCGCCCGCCCTGCCCGTTCCCCATCCCGCCTCCCTGGCCCATCACATCCCCACCATGGTGCTGTGAGCCCTGGAATGGCAGCAGCACGCTTCTGGATGGCCGCTGCCCGCAGGCAAAGACTGGCACTGAGACGTGCGAGGAACTGGGAGCCTGTGGCAGAGAGGGGGGCAGAGGCAGGGCTGCTCTACGCGCTGAATCGCCTTGGCAGTATCACCGTTTCCAGGGGGTTGAGTGGGAAGGGAGCGTGGGAGGGCACGGCGGGATGTCCTGTGTGGATTTGCTGGTGCATTCGGCGCTGGAGCTGCACCTGGACGAGTCACTGTTCTACAGATAATTTGATGGGAGGAAAAATTGCTCTTGTCCCTTCTCCTCTGTGCCAGTGAGTGCCCAGCAGGGAGACGTGGCACAGCCCCGCTGCTGCCATCGGCTTTGTCTATGGCAGCTCTTCCCAAGAGACAGATTTCTCTCCCTGGCAGTCCCACTTCAGCCAAGTTGGGTTTTCCTCCCAGTCCCTGTAGCCCCAGCTGTGCCCTGGGGTTTGTCTGCAGGTGCCGTGGTGGAGGGGGTGAGCTGAGAGCCACCAAGGGACGGAACGCCTCCCCTGTGCGGGAGGCTGAGAGGCTGTGAGGCAGCCGAGGTCAGGCTGGACGGGGCTCTGAGCACCGCCGGAGCTGCGGGGGTCCCTGTTCACTGCAGGGAGGTGGACCAGACGGCTTTTAGGGGTCTCTTCCGACTCAAACGGTGCAATGACAGCCGAGCAGCCGATGGGGCGCCCCGCATTGCTCCCCGCAGCCCTGATGGAGCGCTCAGCTGGGACTTCTGCTGCCCTCTGCAGTCCCGCACAGCCCGGAGCAGCTCTGTACCATAACGCTAGGAAGGTGTTCCGCTATTCGTTATAAGTCTGAGGTGTATAAAGTTCTCACAAACTGTGTTTTACTTCCAGAAAAAAAAAAAAGGAAAAAAGAAAAAAAAAAAAAAACGGAAAAAAAAAAAAACCCGTCACTTTAACTTTGTAAATATTTATGTAAAACATTATTTACAAAACTTTGATATTATATATTATTTGATTGTATATGCACACGGTGTAAATACATTTGTACCTCTCTCTTGTACTCTAAATAAAACAGACTCGGGACGTTTATCGTGTAACGGGCGGCTGCGAGGGGGGAGCGGAGGGCGGAAAATCACAGAGCACCAACCCCAGAAATCAGGGCAGGGACTCTGCTCCCGGCTGCCCGAATCGTTGTCCCCTTTCACTCACGTCGGTACGAAGTGCCTCAGTTTCCCTTGAGAGAGCGGTGGAGACGCTCCGCCCGCACTAAACGCGCCCTGCCCTCCTCCCCCCCCTCTCCCAATCTCCCTGCCAGGATCCAAAATGGCCGCCCCGCACCCAGCCGCTATATCTCTCGCTGAGGCCCTCACTCAAGATGGCGGCACCCACGCCTCAAGTATGCTTTTGCCCGTAGTCAAGATGGCGGCCGGAAGGCACGTGTAAATGGGGGGCGCCGGCGCCCTACTGCCCGCACCCAACATGGCGGCGGTGGCCATGCGGCTGCCGGTGATCCGCAAGGCGGTGGGGCCGAGCGGGCGGCGGAGCGGCGAGAAGCACCTGGTGGTGCCCGGAGACACCATCACTACGGACACGGGATACATGAGGTGGGGACGGCGGCAGCGGGGATGCGGTGAGGGGACGAGGCAGGCCGCTCTTGGGCTCTCCTTATACGTCTGTTCTGTCTGCAGGGGCCACGGCACCTACGTGGACGAGGAGAAGCTCGTCGCCTCGGTGGCCGGCGCTGTGGAGAGAGTGAACAAGCTGGTGTGCGTCACGCCGCTGAAGACCAGGTGAGCTGAGGACTGGGCTGCCCGTGGGGGGTTGAGGAAAGGGCCGTGTAATGCTGTGCTCTGTCCCACCGCCAGGTACAACGGCGAGGTCGGAGACATCGTGGTCGGGAGGATCACGGAGGTGAGGATCCGGGAGGGCCCAGGAGAACGTCATGAGGTCCAACAAAGCCAAGAGCGAGATCTTGCAGCCCAGAGAGCAAACCGTGTCATGGGCTGCATCCAGTGCAGTGCGACCAGCGGGGCACGGAGGTGGTCCTGCCCTCTGGTGAGACCTCACCTGGAGCACTGCGATCTGATGGGGCATCCTCGGTGCAGGAGAGACACGGATCTGTTGGAGCACGTCCAGAGGAGGGCTACAAAAACGATCCAAGGGATGGAACACCTCCCTGTGAGGACAGGCTGAGAGTTGAGGCTGTGCAGCACGGAGAAGAGACGGCTCTGGGGAGAGCTGAGGGAGGCCTGTCAGTATCTAAAGGGGCTGTAAGAAAGAAGGGGATGGATTTTTTTACTAGGGTCTGTTGTGATAGGTCAAGGAGAAATGGTTTCAATCTAAACAGGGGAGATTTACATTCAGTATAAGGCCTTTTACAGTAAGGGCAGTGAGGCACTGGCACAAGTTTCTCAGGGTGGTGGTGGTTGCCCCATACTTGCAGACACCCAGGGTCAGAGCTGGACAGGGCTCTGTGCACCTGCGGGACCTGCAGATGTCCCTGTTCATTGCAGGGAGTTGTGCCAGATGGCTTTTAGGGATCCCTTCCAACTGAAACGATGCTGTGATTCTCTGACAGCCCGTGCTGCACTGGCTGGTAATTTCTTGTGGCTGTCATGGTGCATTGCTGTAGAGCTGTGTGACTTCCCACGCTGCTGACGAGGTTTTGTTCATATTCTGAGTGTACATTAACATCATTTTTCTTCTCCAGGTTCAGCAGAAACGATGGAAAGTGGAAACTAATTCCAGGCTGGATTCAGTCCTGTTGTTGTCGTCTATGAATTTACCTGGTGGGGAACTGGTGAGTGCAATTTGTGCAGAGAAGTTCCAAATTGCTGCCTTCTGCGGCAGGGCAGGATGCTTTGGATAATCCTTCCTTCATGTATCTGTTAATTAATGTTTTCTCATTCTACGTGACGTGTAACTTTTCTTGCATTGTCCTCTTCAGAGAAGGAGATCAGCAGAAGACGAGCTTGCAATGAGGGACTATCTGCAGGAAGGGGACCTCATCAGTGTATCCTTGCACTGCTTGTACTCGAACAGAAGAGTTGAGGGGCATAGGGGGGGACAGCCAGGCCTCAGCCAGGCAGGAAGAGCTCACTGCTTGGGCAGCTGGTGGCTGTTGGCACAGGGCAGCAGGAGGACGTCTGTTTCCTTAAGAGGCACTGACAGGCAGAGGTGCAGTCTGTATTTTCTGATGGGGCTGTATCGCTGCACACCAGGAGTCTGAAATATGGGAAGGTAAGTCGCTCAAAAACCTAATTTTTTGCCAGGTAGATTGCAGGAGTGTCTAACCCTGGTGCTCAGAAGTCTGTTAGGAGGTTAGACCTTTGTTAAATACAGTGCAATCCTAGCCATGTCAGTAGAATTTCTTTGAATTTATATCGAGATGGCAGCAGGATAGGCCTTTGGGGGGAGATCTTTATGGAAAAAAAAGCTCTGGAGTAGAGCATGGTGTTATAACCCACGTCAGTAAGTTAGGAGGAATCTTAGCTCCTATGTGGGAGCTCAGAGCAGAGTTCCTCAATGCAGACAGAATGCCCTCTGAACTGCTGCTGTTCCTCTCCAAACTTATTGCGTGAATCTGTTTCTCCCACCAGTTGAGCTCTGAGGAGAAAAATCTTCTAGCTCGAACTTTATCACTCTTCTTCTGCAGGCCATTGTCCCCAGGGCTTGCTTCTCACTCCAGGGCTCTCTTTTAGGCTTTATGCAGTTGGCATTTATCTCTGTTTTTGCGCATTGAAATAAGCCAAGGGGCCACTGGAGCGTAGGCTGCAGTTGGGATTACCAGACCGAGGGTATTAGCACTTAAAAGATGAAAGCAAAATGTGCTTTTTTGCACAAAGGGTGAAGGACAGCGACTGGATTAAGGGGGAAAGTGTTCTGCTAAATTGGGCCTCTCAGTCCTCATTTTTCTGCAGGATGGTTGATGTCTAGTTACAATCAAGATATTATTAACATTTGTCCTAAGCACTGAGAGTATTCTTCATCTTCAAAGGACTGCACAGGCATTAGCTAATCCTCCCAGCACTCCCAGAGGCAAGCAGGTTTTATATTCACTGTTTCACAGGAAACGATGTTAAATTGACTGGTTCCTAGACCAGGAGTGGAGTGCATGTGGGTGACTGGTTATTACCTGTGGCAGCACACTGTCTCTCATGCTGAGCCTCATGGTCTCTTCTTCAGCTTGGCCAGGGTGTGCTTGTTCAGGTCTCGCCCTCCCTTGTGAAACGCCAGAAGACTCACTTCCACGACTTGCCCTGTGGTGCATCTGTGATCCTTGGTAACAACGGTTTCATCTGGATCTACCCAACTCCAGAACAGAAAGATGAAGAAGCAGGGGGCTTTACAACCAACCTAGAGGTAAGGGGACAGGGAAAATGATGAGCTGTGTTCTACCAGTGACGTTTTGCTAGTTGTGATCCAATAGGCATGTGAATCACTTAAGATGTTCAAGAAGTGGTGTTGGATTTGTGGCAAAATGTTTATTTTCCAGAAGGCTTGCATTATTTCCCTGTGTATTCATCTCTGTTCCTCTGTCCTTTCTCAGCCAGTTCCCCTGTCTGACCGGGAGGTGATCTCACGGCTCCGAAACTGCATTGTGGCTCTGGTTACTCAGAAGTTGATGCTCTTTGACACTAGCATCCTGTATTGCTATGAGGCATCCCTTCCTCATCAGGTACCGAAACCAGTGCTGTTTACTTTATTCCACAGTGTGGGAAGGGACTGGGAAGGCTGAATCTGCTGCTGTTGAAGTCAGTAATTTACATGGTGGGGCTTCCTTTTGCCCTTCCAAAAGATTTGTAGTGACAACATGAACTTCTGCTCTCATGCATGACGTAAATTGCCTTGGACATGTGTGATATCCTGGTAGAACTTAAACAATCACAGAGAAAAAGTGTGCAGCAAGAGCTCCAACTGGGGGAGCCTTGCAGTCAGTGCAGAATGGCCTTCATTAAGGCTTTTAGCCTTTCCTTTGATTTCTTATGGTCTTTACAAGAGGTGTTAGCCCAAAGTTATCTTCAAGTGCTAGTAACTTCTCTTCGGTGCCAATGTGACTTTTCTTTCCATTCCAGATCAAGGACATTCTGAAACCAGAGGTGATGGAGGAGATTGTTCTGGAAACCCGACAGAAGTTGCTGGATCTGGAGGGGTAGTGCTACAAGAGGTCACTTTACAATCCCCACCGTGGCAGCTTTTGGTTCTCAGTTCTTTTTTTTAATCAGTGTTCCAGTCACCAGTGTCCATTCCACACTTCAGAAACTCCCACAATTGGTCGTTTAAACTCCTTGAATATCTCCTGAGCCCTTTTAGTACAATAGTACTAAATAGTACTTAAGTACAATAGCCTTTTAGTGCAGCAGCCTGGGAAATAGATACCTGACCTTTATGAAGACAGATGCAATTGGGACATATCTCATGACACTTGTTGCTGTGTATAGTGCTCCTGAACTTCTAGGAAGTTAGGGAGGAGGGGATGTGTTTTGTGCTTGGCTTCTTTCTCCCCAGAGGCTTTTAAAATGGTTTTGATTTTCCTTTATTATGATACAGATCTGCCAATCTGTCCTTTGACTCAGATTTGTGTGGGGTTTTTTTTTCTTTTTTGAGACTTCACAAGTATGAGTCCTTAGACTATTTTGAGCCATGTTTTGTGTGTTTGTTGTTCGTGGCTTCTGTGTCCTAAGGGTTTGAGTTTGGACGTGGCTGTCCAGATGGGCCAGGTAGCCATGGGTGAGCAGTGCCTTCTCAGTCTCTTTATCCTGCTGGTCCCTTTTATATTCGTGATGTGGTGAGCTCTTTATCTGAGGAGGCTCTGGTGTTGTTTTCTATGAAATGCTCTACATTTCAATAAAGTTCTTGTAATTTAAATAGTCATTGGTGCGGGTCTTGGCTTTTCTTGCTCTCAAATTAATTTGGTCTAGGCAGAGAACTACAGCTGGCTTGAAGTTTTCTTCTACCCAGGAGACTTAAATGAACTGTCCTCTTGCCTCCTCTTTAGTTGTTCTTCAGCCTTTTCAAGCAGTTCACCTTCTTCTGCACCAAGTTTTCCATATGGGGTGAGTAAGTAGATAATCTGGCACTGTTCATAGTGACTTTCTCTCAAGATTTCTTTGCAGGAAAGGTGTGTCGTGCAGCTTTGTTAGGGGAGAAAGGGGAGCCCAGCAGACATTGGCCAGGTGGCCACATCCGCAGGGCAGTGCACTCCACACTGCACTCCATCACCTGCCTTCCCTGCTTGAGAACAGATGTGATATTTTTGTTTCACTGTCCTTTCAGATCTCTGGTATTAGCTGAATTAGAGCTGTTTGTATGTGGTGTGTGTATATTTTTTATTAGAGCTGCATGCACTTCTGTGCTGTACTTGTTAGAAACTGAAAAAGCAAAAAGTCTGCCCTAATTATCCCTGTGTCTGGTTATGGCATTTCAAATTTTCATCTTGCCTTGCATCTTCTAAAGGAAGAAAACTGCTCAATCTTTTCCTGGAAACTAGAAATACCCTTGCTTGCTTCTCATCTGGCTTAGACTGCTCTGCCTGTGGTTAAGAGTAAGCACTAGGTGGCACCTTTGGATCGTGTTTGTAGTAATCTTCAGCAGCTCTGCTTCATTTCCTTCCAAAAAACAAGGGCTGGGTGTCTGCCACCAATGCTGCTGCCTAAATACCAGAGCATTATGGAGCTCAGTGGCTGAGGACAAGCAAGGACACAGGTAATCCATTCTGCTGCTGCAAGACTCAAACTTCACTCCATGCTGCCTCTATAAAATAGCACTTAAATTTCCAAGGATGGACTTTCCATGGACTGTCCCATGCAAGGTCCAGGAACTGTTATTTCTGAGTGTTGGGAAGGTTCCCTAGGAAGTGAGGATGTGATTGTTTTCACAGGATGATCTGGAAAGGCTGAGGACTAAAGCCTGATGGTGACACTGTCAGGTCTGTGTGTGAGGCTGGTATCAGCATTACCCACATTTGTGTGGGCAGGAACAGCACAAAAAGGCTAAAAGCTTTAGCAGACTGTAGGCTCTCATGCCAACACTTCCCAGCATGAACAACTTTGGTTGCTTATGCTCGATAAATGAATATTCAACTTGAGAAACAATGAGCTCAAGGTCTAGACTGCTTCAGCTGCTCAATGCCTTGAGGATATGAGTACGTGACTCATCCAGTTCCTGGCACTTTTGTTCTTTGACCTAAGAATTGGAGCACCAGCAGGAAAGATTTGCTTATTCATCATTTCTGAACTATGGGGGTGACGGTGCTGATGCTTTTCTGCACGGCCACGAGGGGTCATTGCTGTTCTCTGCAAATTCAGCCGGGGCCGTGCAATGCCCAGAGCTAAATCCTCCAACAGGGCTTCAGCGCGAGCATTGCTGGCAGTTCCTGCAGCTCCATCTAGCGCAGCTTTGCAAACCAGCGGCTAAAGAGATGGGAGGGAGAAACTTCCCGAGCAGTTTCGAAGGAATCTAAGAGAAGTTCCTGCCCAGCAGGATTTATTCATTTACTGTTAATGTGATTGAAGCCCTGTGGGTTTGTCTCTCAGATAAACAGTGAGAGCTGCAGTGCTCATCCACTTCACAAGCTGAGACTCACAGTATCCATAGAGGCTTTAAGTCCACAGTATAGCAAATGGCTTTTCCCCATTGCTTACCAGAGATGAGGGAGGAGGTCTGGCAAGCGGGATGGGAAAGCCAGGACCCCTCTGTCCATTGCAGGTTCGCATAAGAGTGTAAGCACTGGTGAGTTTGTCTGCAGAAACCACGGCACAAAATCTGTAGAAATAAATGTCCTGCTTCCTGGTGCCAGTTTTTATTCATGTGCTAATGTGGAGAAGAGCAACCCCTCCCTTCACTCCCAGTTAATAACCACTGGGATTTCAGATTTGTGCTAATGGATTGTTAATCCAGTTACTGCTGCTATTATGTTACTTCTGTATCATCTGCGTGCAGTTTTGCTGTTCACATGAATGGTGTAAATGCAAAGCCCGAGGAGATACTGAAATTCCACTGAGACAAAAGGCAGCCTTCAAATGGTCGTCTCAGGTTCCTGAGGACCAGCAATTAATATGCTGAAGTTTGGCATTTGTAAAGAAGTTTAATATATTGTTATGGAGGAAATGGAGACAACATCATAGCAGCTGTTAGGTGTAACAACTCACACACTATGGAAGGTAAACAGAGAACATACTGAAATACCTTATGGAGTTCACTCTGCTTCAGTCCTACTGTGGTGTCTGACAAAGACTATCCAAAACGCTCCAGTCGTATCCAGAAAGGAATAACGTTTACAGTAAAGGATGGTGTTTTTGACTAACCTGTTAACAGTTCTCTCTCAAGTTGCTCAGCTCTGTTTCCTGTTTCCTCCAGCCTGTGGAATCATACAGGGTCTGTGCTAGAGCGAAGGAGCTTGCATCACCACAGTGAGAAGCTGATCTCTTATTACTGAGATAAACGTGGAGGAATTCTGTGGAGCTGAAGAGACATGGCCTTGGATTTGTCCGAGCACATTGGGAACTAGAAGTTCTTTTTACTGCGTGTAAACAACCTGAGATACCTGCAGTCTGAGTCACTGATAGGGAAATACAATAAAAATGGTTTGGGATCCTTGCTGGGAAATGGCTGCTATGGCAGAGGTGGACGATCTGGTAGGCCTGAATGAAGTACCTCATTTCAACTGCTGTTGGTGGGAGATAGAAAATATGCCTGGGGCCTTGAGCATGGTGTTGGAGCAGGGGAGGATGTTTGGATTTGTCACGAGGGAGGAGCTGGTACAAACAAGGCAGTCCACGTCCAAATGGGCACCTTGAGCAGCAGGCAGAACTGCATTTGTGTGTTCTATTGTGAGTGAGAGCAACAGCAGAGCTTTAACCGAGTCACCCTGACCTCAACCCGCTGCTCCATTGGTTTCTGTTCTCGAGGTGAACCGGAGCATAAAAACCGGCATCTCCCGTGTCAGCGTGTGCCCCGCACCGCAGGGAACGCGCTCCTAACGGCGCAGCGGGCTGCGCAAGGGGGGTTTCACTTCGTTTTGCTACGTGCGAACAGCGCCCCGTCCGTCCTACGGCCCGGCGTCAGGCCGCGCGCTGACAGCGCCACGGAGAGCGGGAGGCTTTGTGTGCGGAGCAGGGCGGCCCCGCCAGGCGACGGCAGCGCGGATCCGCAGCGCAGGGACGCGGCTGTGCGGGGCCGGGCGGCGGGCGGAGGAGGAGTGGCCGGAAGCGGTTTTCCTGCCCGCCCCGCCGGCCGGGGACGGCGCTGCGCCGCGGGTTCCGGGATCTCCCTCAGCGCTCCGCCGCCCCCCGCGGCCCTTTGTCCCCCTTCCTCCCGCCCTGCCCTGTTCGCGGTGATGCCGCCCCGCCCGTCCCAGCCCCACCTCCGGCGGACGCGCTGCGGGCTCTTCCTCCGCGGTCGGCCTCGCGCCTCTCGCCCGGCGGCCCGCGGGCCCTTCTGAGGCGGCCGCCTCCCGCTCGGGCCCAGCCGCTGTTCGACGCCGCCATGGCCCCCCGCGGCCCGGCCGCCTGCTCGGGCCCGGCCCGGCCACGGAAGAGGTAGCGGCGGGCGGGGCCGAGGGCACGGCGAGCTGCGGGCGGGCCTCGGGTCGGCGCCGGGAGCCGGAGCCGGGATGCCGGTGCCGGGCGGCACCGGGAGGACGTGAAGCCAGACCCGCGTTGCTTTGGCCTTTGTTAACCCAATGCTATGCAAAAGAAAAGGAGAAAGAGGAAAAAAAAAAAGAAAAAAAAGGAAAGCTTGTCCCTGGGAATGAGAGTGTCCTGCCCGGGGTGAGCCTGAGCGTGGCTTCGCGTCTGTGAGGCAGACTCGGTGAACGACACGCCGCGTTCCAGGAGGAAACTTCGGCGTCGCTCATTAACGCCTGGTTGGAACTTTTAATCCGTTTTGTTTTTTTTTTCATAAAGCCGCCTCGGGAGCCGCGCTGCTGTCTGCAGGATCCGTGCTCGTCTGCTGCTCCTCTGCAGTGGCTTCAGTGCACGGGAGCACCGAACTGTAGGGCTGGAAGGGGACCTGGAGATCATCCCACCCCAACGTGCTCCTTTCACAGCTCCTTCTCAGCCTGGAAGATCGGGGATCGCGGACTTCTGCAGAAGCTTCTTGTCCTGGGAGAAGCTGCCCAGAATTGCTTTATGGGGCAGCAGCCTGGAAAAGTTCTTGGGGACCAAAGGAGGCCGAGTCTGCCTGCCCTGCACTTCATCAAAGGAGCAGGGAAGAAGGAGTCATCGAGGCATGGGGGCCCGCACTGCAACGTCTTTGTGGAACACGGTGAGAGATTTCAGTTGGTTTCACTTTTGGTTCGATTTTGATTTGCTGAGTTGGATGTGATGTGGATTTCACAAAGTGCAGTTAGATACAAACATACTGCGCTCCTTGGGAGTTGTTTTCTCCCCCTTGCTTCTTAAGGTAAAACTCCTGTTTTTGTTAATGCTTCGCTTATGTCAGATCACTTGAAACCTGGGAAGAGGTTATGGCACAACTAAATATGAAATACAAGGAAATAACTCTTTAATATCATGTAAACTTCTCACTTCTGCCTTGGATGCGTGCTGGATTAAGGCCTGGAGAAGTGTTTGTTTCGTAGGTGTAGACCGCAGCCAGCTGAGGGTGATGCTGTTGTGAGTGAAGAGTGTTGTTAATTATCTCTACAGAAGGGGCTTGGAAACAGAACTGGACTGCTTTTGGGAAGTTTGGGGATGCTGCTGTTGTGACAACTGGTTGGAATGAAGTAGTTTCTTGTTAATTTGCTTCGTGTGCTTACAGCACTGTTGGTCTGCGATTTCTCATAGCCAGTTAAATATGTAACTTGTGCTGGCATGGAGTTAAGTGTGGGAGGCCACAAGTGGCCAGGTTAGGGGTACAACAACCCTCTGACC